AGAGAGAGAGAGAGAGAGAGAGAGAGAGAGACAGTGGCAGGTCTATAATGTTGAGCTAAGTTTTCACAAATAGCTGATGTACAGGTGCATTTACTCAACTCAAGCTATCATCGTTAATCTTGACTTGCTGTCTCATGGTAAACAAAACAAATCTGAAGATGACAACAGTGAACACAGACAATAATCAACTTTTAGCATAAAGGCAACCATGGAACATGCTTCTCAGTTGAAACAATTGCCAAATAAATATATATCCTTATATATTGTAATTTAAAATAGAATATATGGATACATATATTTATTTGTATTTAGCATATAGTTTTTAATTATATAAATATATATCCATATACTGTATATACTGTAGTTTAAACTGGAAGATGAAGTCCTTCCACCACCTCCACCTTCCACATAAATATGGACATATATTTATAAAAAATAAATAAATAAACACTTCCGGTATCTATTGTTGCTGATGTCAAAGACTGTGAGGCCAATCCAATGCAAATTCCTCATAAACCATAAAACAATTCACATAAAAACATTCAGCTTAAGTGATATTAATAATTGTGTATGGCATTTTTCTTTGTACAATAAACAATATTTGTACTGCAATGGTTCACCACTAAAAAATCTAGGTCATCAGAAGCAGTTGAGCACCAGTGGCACAGAATAGGAAATATAAAGCAGAAGATCTACTGAGCCATATACAGTAAAGGAATGAAAACAGAAACGGCTCTGTTACGACTCTGCTAATGTTCAAGTAAGAAACTAATTATGACTGTTTACACTAACTGTATGGGCAGTTAGCCAATTTCTACTGTCCAGCCTCTTTGCTGTTTCCAGGGCAACAGATAGTGGGTGAGAAATGTAGAGCAGTGCAGGTCTCAGGACAGACAGGCCAGTGAGTAGTGCAAAAATCATTCAGTCTGTGCAGAATGACTGGACAGATGCCGCCATGACAGGACACTGCGCTGCTCTCCAAGAATCATCTATTACTACAGCAGCCTTCTTTTAAAAATCATTTGACATTTTTAAAGATAAAAAAAAATAACAAAAGAGCCAGCACGCTCTTATGGCAACTTGTAATTATTTATTTTACATTTTACTTGTATGTTTTCATACAATCTGCTTACACCCCATTGAGGATTTGGCTTATTTTTTATTTTTTTCTTCAGAAATCATACATTTTTATGCTGCCAAAATCAGTCTAAGCACAAAAGATTCATTTCAGGGGATCCAGTGTGCTAAGTTAACATTAGTGACTGAAGACAGGATAAAACCTTGAAACATGTTAAAATCACATCAAAACTCCATTTTCATCTTTTCCTTTAAAAAAGGATATCCTCAAAGCAAGAAAATACAATATGAGAAGCAGCATATCATACATATTTACTGGATTATGTTTACTTTTTCTTACTAAAATTACTTTAAAGTCGGCATGAATTGAAAATCCACCCTATTTATGTTCTACAGGCATGTTACTGATCTTATTGCCAACAATTCATCCATGTATATGTTTATTTTTTACCTCATTTTTTAATTAAATAACACAACTGGTGAAACCGACTTCTCTTTGGTTACGCCAGACTTCATTTTTGCTTCGCTCCAATCATTTAGTCTGCTTGAACCCTGTGCCTTTCTTACACTCGACCTCAAGCTTGCAGTCAAATCCGCATCCATCAACAACCAACAGACAGAACCACGTCCCCTCTCTACATTTTTTTCTTTTTTGACAATCCGTTTCACTCAGATACATGTCACAATACAGAATAAATTATCTGTCGCTACTTCTGTTACATTGCAACTTTAATCATAAATCTCCGTTAATTGGGTTAGATTTATGCATTAAACAAGAACAGCTATGAAGGGACAATATATTATTTCCATATCTCTGTATGGTCTTGATTTGTACAGACGTGCAGTGGTTGTAAAAGAGGCATAAATACACTACATACAGTTAAAGAACAGTACTGTGCTGTTTATGTGTGCAGGCTGCAGGCAAAGCAGAGCTAACAGGAAGAAAGAGAAAGACTGAGACAACAAACGCTGACTGCAGCAGCACATGAAATAGCATAATTCATGCAAGCCTTGATTCCCCTCTCAGCATGCATCTGTACCTCAGAGCTTCTGCCCCCAAAAAACTGCTTCTGATTAGACTGAGATGCTCAGAAAGTGCAGCACAGAGAATCACTGACAATTACTGACACCGAAATCTGCCGCAGAACTGACACTGCATGAATTTCATCAAATAAATAAGAGGGAGAGTAAATGAATAAAAACATGAACTGAAAATAAATGTTAATGCACTGTAAAAAGCCCTGGGTTATTTATTTTTTTCAATCCAAACACTGGGTTGCGATTGTTGGGAAAGCAGGGTTGATCCGACCCAATTTAGGTTGATAATTGTTCATTATGCGGACATGAAAAATAGCAAGTATGTCATGCAAGGTCCAACCATTCTCTGAGTTCCACCTATCTGTGTTTGCGGTGCTCATGAAAGGAATATGTGTGGAAAATAGAAGAAAATGAATTGAAGCAGAGAGGAGAGAGAACTTTGAAACTTACTGCAGAGACAAGTATGTTCTTTTTTTGTTGGAGTATTTTCTCGCACACCAAAATCACTCAAGTAGTGACTGGATTCTAGTGAACTGGCAGGAATTGAAAAAGACGGAATGGCTCTTGAGAGGAGTGATTAAAAACACTTTCATCATGTCGATTTGCTATAATGCACATTTTATTCCTGACTTTCAATGTTTATTACAGGCTTTTAGTCAGTGTGTTTCTTGGCAGCACTCAAAGCCTTGAGGCTTTGGGCATAATGGAATTATTTTCATAAATGAAATAACTGGTCAAATTTAGAAAGTTATTTAATATTCAACAGTGCTGATTAAACTTTTAAAAAGCAACTTTATTTAACTGAATAAGTTCTTGATTTGTCCTTTTCTGCACTTCTTCTCACTCGTGTACAAATGTACTTGTTTATACTGTTGCCTATAGATTTTGTCCTTGCTTATCAATAAATTTAACCTTTTTATTATGATATGTGCACTTATCAAATTGCAAAAGGCTAATATTTAATTAAATATGCAGTTTACTGTTGCTTAATTTTGTGGAGAAATGTTTACAGCATTTCACTGGATTTGTATTGATAAGTGTATGTATAGCTGTTGTCTAAGAAACGTAAAGGTCTCCCTGCAGATTTTCCAAAATAAAAGCTTCATGTCACGTTTATGGTCGGTTTTGGTTTTGTTTTCCCTGTTTTTCCATGCCCTTGTTTGGTCCTTCCCGTTCCTGTCCTAATTGTTTCCAATTTGTTCCAGATGTTCCTTGTCATTTAGTTATCCTCATCACCTGTCTGCCCCTCGTTATCTGCCCTATTTGAGTTCGAGCCCGTTCTGTTCTCCCTTGTCTGGAATTGTTCATGTCAACCTTTGCTACGTGTGTTTTCCTGTTCCCGTGGATATTATTAAAGTCTACAAGTTTGAATTCAACTCTGCGTCTCCTCGCTCCATGCTCCTTATGCCGAGTTCACACTGCACGATTTTAGCCCGATTTTTCACTCGCCGACAGGTTTTGCGAAATCGCCGACAAATGCCCGAAATCGGAGGCAAATGCGACGTCTTTGAAAATCGTGCAGTGTGAACTAGGCATTACAGTAGCGGACTATGACACTTCAGGGTTTATCAATTGCAAGTAAAAAAATTAAGACATAAAAATTGTCATTTTACTACTGTCAAGTACAATATATTATTTTTAAACATTGCAGTTATATTACAATTTCTGTCATAATAATAATAATAAGCTATCTGGTGATTATTACTATAATTATGTCTCATCATCATCATTATTATTATTATATGCTGTTGCTACTGCCTAGTTCTACCATTAAGGATACAGGAACCCTTATACTAATAATACTAATTAACATGTAAGTCTGTGACGTATATATTTTTTTACTCTTGCACATAAAAAAACATGTATTCATATAATGCATGACAGTGCATTGGCCACTGGCTGAACTCACTTCCTGGAGAGTGACTTGTCAGGTGAGGTGCTGCACTGAGTCAGTGAGTTAGTGTGTGTGTGTGTCACTTTGCATTACAGTAACGGCTGACAACAGTGGTGAACCATACCTGACGTCATGATCAACACCAGGTTACACTCTCTCAGATCTCACCACTTATGTAATTCTGGGATTTATTCAAAACTTTAGCTTGTAATATTATTATTGGAAGTATTCAATATTTTGCATTTTCCTGTCCACATACAATACTATTATATGCAGACAGTAGACTGACATGCAGGGACATGTATATAGGCTGTCTCTCTGGATGACACTGCCCTCTTCTTTTATTGGCTTGAGACCAACATCTGAGACATCTGGAAGAACTCATAATCATCTTCAGAGAACACTGATACAGTCCAGTGTATGGCTGCTCCAACTATTTATAAGATCTTGCTTAAAATTAAGCATTAAGTGCACACTAGGGGCATACCAACTACTATTTAGTTTAAAACTATCTTTATTAGTGTTCAAAAGTTTGGGACACATTAAATTGATCAAAAGTTACAGTAAAGACATTTATAATGTTATAAAAGATTTATATTTCAAATAAAATAAAATCAGTTCTTTTTAACTTTCTATTTATCATAATCCTAATGTCTAAATTAACTACGTACTAATTAATTTCGTAAATTGCATAAACAATTATGAACAAAACAGCATCATGTATTTATGCATTGCTTAATACAAAGAGCCGAATCGCCCATCGCGCCCCTGCATATATTGCATTTAAAAACATAAGGGATGCAGTGAAAAGGAATAAACCTCCACAAATTCGCAACGTGTTTTCTAAAAGATTAAACTGTTTTCACTTTGCATGGCTACATCTCTTGTGTGAGACGCGAGTGCAGCAGTCATATTTGTCCGTCTAAAAATGCGCTGAAT